AACGGAGGCTGGAGGGGCCCCAGGTTGCTCCTCTCAAGGTGGCATCACCCAACGGGCTAGAGGCACCAGGCCTTGAAGACGGCCCCGGCCCAGCGTCAGCTGAGTCTGAGAGCGAGCACGGGTGGGGCCCAGCTCTGGGTGGGGTGCAGCCCAGCGGGCAGCGCCCCCCTGATGGGGCCTGGAGGATGGCCCCGGCTGGGCTCGCCCGGCAGCCACACAGCAGTGGCTGCCTCCTCCTGCAAGCGAGGCCGAGTCACAGCCCGTGGTGTGTGGCGTAGATGAGAAAGCGGGTCCTTGGCAGGCAGTCCGGTCCCTGCCCGGCCCCCAGGCGTGGAGACAGACCTGAGATTCATACGGCACAGCGACCTCCTCTCTCCCGCCGCCCCCACACCCCACACCCTGCAGCTGCGTCCCCGCGCCGCTTCTGGTGCCCGAGGTGGCCCTGGGGACCTGCAGTGGACAAAGGCATCCTCTTGGTGGGGACAGACACTGCCTGGCCCGGGCTGAGAGGGGGTCTGTTCCTGTCACAGCAGAGCCACTGTCGGAGGCATGCAGCCTCCGCAGACAGCCTTTTCTCCAAGGATGTGCTCTGGGAGGCCGCCCCAAACTTGGTTTGCATGTCAGACGTGCGCCCCCTCAGGTCCGAGACACATCCCTCAGGTCCGAGACACGTGCCTCAGGCCTGGGAGAAGTGCCCACCCTCTCCAGGTCCGGCTCGCGCTGTGCTTAGAGGGGAAATGACAGAAACTCCCTGCTGAGGCTGTGGGGGGAGTTCCAAGCCTCCAGGCTCCAAGAAGGAGCCTCAAAGGAGGTTCCAAGAAGGGCCACGCGTCCTCGCGCCTGGAGGCACCGGCCATCACCGGCCACACACCCTGGGCCTGCCCTGGACTCCTCGGGTCACAGTCCTTTCCTTCCCGGTGCACCTGGCCCAGCGCCCAGGCAGGGCCGGGTCTCCTCTGCGTGAGCAGTAAGCCTGTGCCCACGTGGGTCCTTCTAAAGGTGGCTTCATGGTTTTCATTCACTCACTCAATCGTCCACGCATTGATTGAGCACCTACTGCATGCCAGGAACTGGCCTCGGCATGATTGACTGACCGACACAAAAGGTGCCCGGACGCTTTCCAAAAGCACGTGGAAAGAAGTAAAAATCACTGGGCTGCATGGTCACCTGGGAAAGGCACGGGCTCGGGTCATTCAGATCCGAATTCTGGTCCCTCCCCACCCCAACCTCGGGAGCTCAGGCAGCCCACAGGAAATGGGGTTTGCAGCCAGACCGGCGCACAGTAGGGCCTCAGGGCCTGCTCCTGTTCGCTCACCCACTTCCTTCTGTGTCGTCGCCTCTGGGAGACGAAAGGCCCAGGGTCTTAAGGTCCCGGAGGATTCTCAGACCCCTGTCCCGCGTCAGCCTCGAAGCTGCAGGGCAGCACTGCATTTACCCTCGCTGCCCTTGAAACTGAGACTCCGGGAGGCCGTGTGCTTTGTCCCAGGTCACTCAGCGAGTGAGGGGCACTGGGGACACGAAGGCTGGCCGAAGCTGGAAGGACAACATGTCGCCGAGCACGGGCCGCCAGCCAGGACCTATGTGAGCAGACCCCTTGCCCGTGTCCCAGGGACAAGTACGTGGAACAGCAGATGCCTCAGGCCAGTGCAGGCTGCGCCTGCAGAGCTGAAGGTCAAGTGTGGAGGTCTGTGGGGCTGGGGCACAGCTCTGGGCCCAAGGCCCTTGGGGAGCCTGGGCCGAGGGCCTGGGAGAGGCCGGCCGGCCAGAGAGGCGTCCGGGGCCTTGCCGCGTCAGACCTGGCACAGACGTCTTCCTGGCCTGGGAGCCCCGAGACGGGGCCCGCGGAGCTGGTGTGCACATCAGTCCCGAGACACGGGTCAGGGATGAGCGGAAAGCCACCGAGGTGCGTTGGCAGCTGGCAGCCATCGGGCTCCGTCCCATGGGGCCCTCAGGGCAGGGGAGCTGGGTGTCCCCCTGCCGCACCCTCGTAAGGCTGGCCGCTAGCCAGGGGCCACTCCTGGGCACCGAGCTCCCTGCCAGAGACAGGCAGGGGCTGGCAGGAGGGTGCCATCGGCCTGGTCCAGACGGGTGAGCTCCATGGCACTCCCTGTGGGCACCGCAGGCACCCCATGCAAAGGCCACCCCGCACACTCCCCGCCCACCCACCCAGCCCCCCACCAGCCCAAACGGCCAGGAGCACAGCCGGGCCCTCCTTTTGGAGGGGGCGTCTCTTCCAGGACATGGAGACGAGAAGAGCGAGCGGATAGAACACTGCACCCGCTGGATGGCAGACAGGATGGGCATGGCCACACGGTGGCATCTTGTTCTGCCATGAAAACATGACGAGGTGCAGAGTCCTAAAAACACTCAGTGGAAGAAGCCAGACGCAAAAGGCCACGTGCACGATTTCATCTATGTGACTGTCAGACCAGGAAGATCAGAGATGCAAGCAGGGTAGCGGTTGCCAAGGCTGGGGGTGGGGAGGGTGAGGAGCAAGGCCTAACAGGCACAGGTTTCTTCTGGGGGTGATGAAAGCGTTCTGAAGCCAGAGTGGCAATGGTTGCACAACCTTGTGGCTATACCAGAAGCACTGAATTGCATACTTTAGAAAGGTCAATTTTATGAGAAGGGGATGTGTCTGGATTTTGGACAGTATACACACGGCCGGCCATCTTTAGAGGAGACAATCACGGAGGGCTTCTGGGAGGAGGTGACATTTGAGCAAAGGTCTGGAAGATGAGGGGAGTTGGCCATGGGGTGGGGCAAGAGGAGGTATGGCTGGCATGGAAGGGGGCAGAGGGCAGTGAGCTTGAGGGGAGAGGGCCAGGGGAAGGGGCAGGGGTGCCAGAGACCCCGTGGGGTCAGGTATCTGTGCTGAGGGTGCGTCTCATTCTCAGAACAAGGGGAGGGCCACTGGAGGGTCTCGAGCAGGGGAGAGACACAGCAGGATTTGTGCTTTCAGAGGGGACAGGAGGCAGAGCCCCCAGGAGACCGGATGCCTCCTGGGAATCACTTGAGACAGGCGCAGGGTGGGGGAGGAGTCACCGGCTATAAACACGCTGTCCTCGCCATGCCTGGGGCTGTGGGGGGCACCTTGCTCCACGGTCTGGGGGTGGGGGTGAGGGTCCACAGCAAACAGAGAGGCTCCACAGGAGGCCCTCGGCAGGGCCGCAGGGAAGGCAAGCTGCGTGGATGAGCGTGCCACGACGGGACAGGGACAAAAGTGAGCCCGCGGTGGCCTGGAAAGCAGCCCAGACTCTGAGCTCGCTGCCAGGCCAGCTGCCCAGGGCTCCTCGGCAGGGCATGGGTCCAAGGGGCAGGGACGGCCAGGACCAGGGAGCCCGGCGGGGAGGCCCCTGGACACTAGTCTGAAGGGGGACCTTGGAGGGTCATCCAGGCTGGAGAGGGCCGGTCCTGGCCTGGCCTGAGGGGTTCTAAGCCAGGCTAGTGGCGGACCTGGTGGTTCACGGTCAAGGTCTGTTGTGCAAGACGGAGGAGAAGCCCCCACTCGGCTCAGGCAGCAGACACCCCGTGAGCCCCTGAGAACCAGTGACGCCCCAGGGGGCTGCAACCAGGGAGCCACTCAGAGGGTAATGCCAGGGGCCCTGCGCTCCCCTGCAGAGCCGGTTGAGCGCGCCACTCTGGGGGGGGCTGGTCCCAGGTCAAGTGTCTCCTGTGCGCCAGGTCCTCACGCTGGGCGGGCGGAGGACCGGCAGGGGCTAGTAGGGAAGGGAACAATGGGAGTGTGTGTCAGAGAGACAGGGTTTCAGTTTTGCGAGACTGAGTTTTGGCAGTGGATGGGGGCCGGCTGCCTAACAGTGTGAACGTACCTTACACTCCCACGCCGCACACCTAGAAACGGTTCAAATGGCCACTTCTACGAGAGGTGGATTTTTACCATAATTTTTTTTAAAAAGATCCTGTTTTGTTTTGTTTTGTTTTGTTTTAATGGCTTGAAATACAACCCCCATCCCGCCCCGCCATGGGGACAATCTGTTCGGCTGGCAGATGGAACGAGCCCCCGGGGGAAATTCCAGATCTCGCTGCTGGACCGGGAGCTGGCCCTCGTGAGCGGAGGCTGGAAAACAGCGGCCTCTGCCAGGACGTGGGGGAAGCAAGCGCGGCCTGCCGCCAGCAGGGGGCACCCGCGCGCTCGGGCTGGAAGACAGCTCTGCCGCCCTGCTCTCGTCCGGGAAGGCTGCGATGGGTTGGAAGCGGGTGGAGGCGGGCTTTCCTTTTACCCGCATGGACACGACGGTGGCCAGCCGGGCCAGTCCCCTGGAAGGTGATCTCGGGACCTAGCAGACGTCACCCCCTGGCCTCCACCCTCCGGGGCCCCCCAAAGCAGGAGTCGTTGACACCGGTCCCCAGGAGGGTCCGACGGCCACCCCAACTGCTGGTCATAGCCTGTCTCTGCCCCTCCCCCGGGACACCTGCGTGGGCTACCCAGGTGTCGGTCGGTGGTCACGGTAGCCTGCGCAGGGGGCTGGGGTGACGGTGAGCTGGAGATGAGCCCCTGGAGCGTGGCAGGAGTGGGTTCTCACCGTCATTTCTCGTCCCTGTCTCATGTCCTCACAACTGCTTCCTGGGGTCACCACTCAAATTAACTACCTGCACCCCCCCAAAAAAGTTAAGTACGGCTGCAGGCAGGCGGGCGGTGTGCCCACGGCACAGGCGCAGAGGGGCGGGCAGCCCAGCCCCTGCGGCGCTCTCCTGGGGCCGGAGGTGGTTTCCAAGCGCCCGCCCCGGGCCACGAGGGGTGAGAGCCTGTGCAGGAGCAGAGCGCACGAGAGGTCCGGAAGGTGGGACGACGCGGGGGCCTGGGCTCTGGGGACCCCTCTGCCTCCGGCTCGGGCGGCGTCCGAACGGGGCCGCTTCCTGGCTGCTGCCGCTGCTGCGCCCACTCTGGGCTCCAGGCTGCTTAGTGACCCGCTGCCCCTCAGCCTCCCGCGCCCCCCTGCCCCGGCCCACCCACACCCCTCTGCTAAAGCCTTGTTTCCCTAATAGCGTGCCGCGTCTGTTTTCTGATCCAGCAGGGGAGGGAGGGGGGTGTTGAGGAAGGCAGGGAACCAGCAGGAGAACCCACAGACTGAAATGAGGGACAAGAAGCGCATCCACCCGTGAACCTCGTCTGGGTCCTAATGCACATGCCCAGTCCTCTGCTGAACGTAGAGAGACAGATGTCCCCCACCCCAGGGCCTTTGCCCCTGCTGCTGCTGCTGTCATCTGTCCCGGAATGCTCTCCCGAGGGCTCTGCGTACCTGGCTCCGGCCCCTTCCCCCTGGCAGGTCTCCAGCCTGCCCTCCATCGACAGGCCTACCCAGCTTTCGGCGTGAGTTTCCTCTTGCTGCTGTAACAAATGAGCCCAAACTTAGTGGCTGAAAACAACACCCGTTTATTCCCGTGTCGTTCTAGAGATACAAAGCCTCACATCAAGGGCTTTGCTGGGCTGGTTCCTTCTGAAGCCCCTGGGGGAGGGGTCCCTCCGCTGGTCTCTGTCGGCGTCGCCCAGAGCCACCGCATCCTCGGCTTGTGCCTCCTTGCTCGAGTCCCCTGGCCTCTGTCTTCGGTCACCACTTCAACCACCCGATGTCCCGACTGCCTCCACTGTCACGCCGCACTCCTCCCTCTCTTAGAAGGACCCATGGGGTCATAGGGGCCCCGCCTGGATTTCCCAGAATAATCTCCCAATCTCAAGATCCTTACCCTCATCACATCTGCGGAGTCCCTTCTGCCATGGAAGGTCCCACGGCGTCGGGACCCAGGAAGGAGGACGGTGACGCTTCCAGAGGCCGTTACCGAGTCTGGGGGACGCCCTGTCCGCTCCCACCACGTGACTTTCTATCGCCACGCCTGTTCGTCTTCCCCGCTGCAGTGATCCCAGCTGGGATTCTTCTGTCATTTGTTTCTGGTTCTCACCTCCTCTTCCTTCCCTTCACGTCTGGTTCCTCCACAGTTCTTTCTCCAGGATCCACATTGTTGGTTCGGTAACTACGTGTTGAATGCAGATAAGAATGAATGAATGAAGGATGGATGCATGCATGCTGGATGATGGATGATGGATGATGGGTGGATGGATGGTGGATGGTGGATGGATGGATGGATGATGGATGGATGGTGGAAGGAAGGATGGATGATGGATGGAAGGAAGGATGGATGGTGGATGGATGGATGGATGGATGGTGGATGGAAGGATGATGGATGGATGGATGGATGGATGATGGATGGATGGATGGATGGTGGATGGATGATGGATGGATGGATGATGGATGGAAGGATGATGGATGATAGATGCATGCATGCTGGATTATGGATGATGGATGGTGGATGGATGGTGGATGGTGGATGGTGAGAACCTGGGTGGGTGGGTGAACAAAGGAATGGTCCTCCACGCAGGGACAGAGGAGAAAGTGGCCTTCTGCAGAGATCCCCAAGATGCGGCATCTCCCACAGACGCCCCAGCCCGGCTGGAGGACACGGGCGGCGGACAGGGTCGCACTCTGCCCTCCCCAGCAGGAAAGCCAGCTAGACCCGGGAGGGACCTTTGTATCTCAAGGGTTGAAGCCACGGGGCCTACGGGGTTGGCCTGGGAGGCCCAGGACACGCGCACGTTTGCCCGTCGTCTCCTGCTGAGAACAAGGAAGCACCGCCTGTCAGAGCTCAGGTGGCAGGTGAGGCTGAGGCACGGGGCACAGGGAGCCCCACACCCCGCCAGCCTCTCTGGGGCCCAGGTCCCCTCGGCTCGTCAGAGGCAGAGCCGGGGCTCCATCCCAGGGCGCCAGAGACCCCTCACTCCTGAATGCGCCCATGCCCGAGGCTGGAGAGGTGGACCCGCCCCCCAGCGACGGACAGCCTGAGGTTGGGGTGGGGTTTGTCCAACAGACGCACAGTTGCCTCCTGGGCCCCGGCTTCCTCATTTCCTGAACGTGGGCGGCCTGCAGGCGGGGTCTTTATGTGTTTCGTTCATCGTGGGACTCCCGGGGCCTGGCACGGCACCAGGCGCCCAGTGGGTGCTCAGTGAGTAAGGACGAGCTGGGTGACTCTGCAGAGCGGGGGGTGCGGGGAGGACCCGTGATCCCACGTGTGCGGGCCCTGGCTCAGGGACACCGTCCTCGGCTCGCTGGCCCTGTCACTACACCTGTCCCCGATGGACGGGACAAACGGCGTCAGAGAGGTGAGAACGTGACAAGGAGTGTGAGACCGTGGGCCCAGCGAGCTGACCAGAGCTGCCCCCGCCCTCCCCGCACCCCCGGGGCCCCGGCAGCCCCATTGGGTGCGGCAGCCCCCGTCTCGGTGCGGGAGCCTTCCCGCCCTGCCGCTCCTCCGCCGGGTGCCTTCCTGCCCCTCTCGCCCCAGGCCCTCCTGCCCAGCTTCCCTCGGGGACTGCAGCGTCACCTCCTCAGGGAAGCCGCCCTGGTCTCCCTGGCACACCTGTTCTTGGCCCTTCTGTTCAGGTGGGTTCCAGGTGTGCTCGCACCCTCTGGTTCCGCTCCGCTCCCAGGCTGGACTGGGGCTGCTCATCAGCCCCAGGCACAGTGCCTGACACCCAGCAGCCGCTCTGACTGCCCCAGGGCGAGGAGCGGGGTGGCGGGGGTGGGGGGGGGCACCAAGGCTCTGTTCCACGGCCCCCGCCACCCAGGGGCCGGCTGTGGGCCACAGGAGGGTCCTGCCCGAGGGGGCTGTGGGACCACAGAGTCCCTCTATGAGGCCTGCGGTGGGGTCGATTAGAAATAAAGTTCTTGCCCTGGCTGGTGTAGCTCAGTGGATTGAGTGCGGGCTGCGAACCAAAGTGTCACAGGTTCGATTCCCAGCCAGGGTACATGCCTGGGTTGCAGGCCACGGCCCCCAGCAACCGCACATTGATGTCTCTCTCTCTCTCTCTCTCTCTATCTCCCTCCCTTCCCTCTCTAAAAAATAAATAAATAAAACCTTAAAAAAAAAAAGAAAGTTCTCGGGCAGAGCCTGTCGGAGGCGCACAGAGCGCTTTGCCACCCTGGTCTGACCCCTTCCCCACCGCCACTTCCGAGAGTCATCTCCCCCCCAACCTGCAGGCGAGGGGGCCAGGGCCAGGACCACCCGCGACTGGAGGCGGCCAGCGGAAGAGCCCCACGTGCCAGCCAGCCAGCCAGCCGGGCTCCCTCCTCCGGCCCCTGCAGGAGTCCAGCCTCCAGCTTGGGACGGCGGGCGGCGGCGGCACCAGCAGCAAACCCGGCGCAGGGTGACTGCCCCGCTCACAAGCACCTCTCCTCAGTTCCGAAGGAAACCAATTTCCACACCAAATAAGGCGGTGGGCCTCCGAGCCGCTGCCCACTCCACGCAGCTCCTTTTAAGTGTCCAAACGCAATCACACTTGGAGCCCGCCTGGACTCAGCCTCCTCCAGCCCGCCCCCCCCACACCCGCCCTCCGCCTCCCCGAGTAAACAAGCGGTCCAGCTGGGCCCCAGCTGGCCGGCCCGGGGAGGGGGCAGGCTCACCCGCCTGCCGCCTGCTGCCCGCCCGGCTCACAGCCCCAGGCATAGCCCGGAGCTCCAGCATCCTGCTGCCCCGCCCCTGCCCCGGGTCAGAAGCCTGCAGGCACCCCCCGCCCCCGCACCCCTCCGGCAGGTGCAGGGGCAGCTCTACTTCGGGCTCCCTTCCAGGCGCCCCAGAGGCACCCACACCGATACCCCGGTCACCGCTGGCTCCCGAGGTGCCAGCACGCTGGGCACTCCCTCGGGCTCCCCGGGCCGTGAGAAAGCTGGCCCGGGGCAAGAGGGCTTTCTCCAGGGTCCTCCTGGGAAGCCACTCCTCCCGCCGCCACCCCCCCTCCCCCACCGTCGTCATGCCACCCCTGGGGTTCCCGCACGCCCCCAGGCTCTGGCTCACTGCCCCAGGACCCCGCGGGCGCTCCTGGGGGGCGGGGCCGAGGCTGACTCCTCCTCCCGGCGAGCAGCGCGCAACAAGCTAGGCAGCCGCCAGTTCCAGGCTTGGCCCCGGCGAGCGAGCGGGTGATTTTCCACTCGGGCCATCTGATTGCCATTAGGGCTCGGAGAAGGGGATTCCTGGTCCTGGGAGCTCTGGGGGGGGCCCTGGGCAGCGACAGGGTGGGCGGGGGGCAGTGCAGGGTGGCCCCACTGCGCCAAGACTGTCCCCCCCCCCCACCCCGCTGCCTGCACCGCCCCCTGGGAGCAGCCCTCACCTGCTGCCCCCGGCTTCTCCGTGCGAGCCCCTGAGTGCATTGGAACAGCCGACGGGGACCCGCCCCTCCCCGGCGGAAAGGCCCAGCGGGAGCCCCGGGAAGGCACCCGGCAAGGGGACAGCGGGCGCTCCCTCTCTCCAGGATGCACGGCTGGACTCTGTCCACAGTGCTCGGGCCAACCTGACGTCAGCAGGCGGAGGGATGAGCTCCCAGCGGGGCTCCGGGGTGGGGGGGTGGTGCTCGGGAGCAGGGCATTCCTTCCCGAGGCCTCCTCAACCCGGTCCGGCCCCTCCCGCTCCTCCCCCGCCCCTCCCCCTCCCGCCGGGCCTGGAATTGGGTTTGGGGCGGGTTCTGCTTGCAAAGCCATCTTCCCCAGCAGCAGGGAGGGCTCTCCGCTGTGCCGCGCCGGGCTGTTGTTTGCCGAGGCTCCGGCGGTGCCCCGCGCCGGCGGCCTGCTGCACCGTGGGTCGCTGCGGAGGTGGGCGTCCCCGAAGGAGCCCTCCACGCAGGGGAGGCCCTGGAGGATCGGGACACCTGCAGGTAGCGCCACAGGCCCCGGGGCCCCGGGGGAGGGAGGTCCAGGACCAGGGCTGCAGGGCAAAGGCCAGGCAGGGTCAGAGGACGAGGTGGCACATTTGGGGCAGGCGGCCTCCAGCAACCACACCGCCCCAGGCGGGAGCCCCAACACCCCAGGGAGGGCTGTCACTGTGCCAGGGCCTCCTGGAAGACTCTCGAGGCTGCAGCGGTGCCAGGGACACCGGGGCCCTCCGACAGTCCCCTCCTGCGGGGCAGGCCCTGGGGGACCCCGCAGCCCCTGACCCCTGAGCTCTCCTCCACTTCCAGGTCCTGCTCTGTCTCCCTGGGCGTGGGAGCTGCTCTTCTGTCCCCCCGCCACCCTGGCCAGCAGCTGTCCAGGCCTGGGAGGGTGGGGAGGGAACACCCATCAGGCAGCATCCCAAGCTCCTACCGCTCTCACGCACTCTGCGAGCGCCCCACCACCGCACTCCCTCGTTCCGTGGGTGCTGAGCTGGGGCCCCGCGGGGCCAGCCCTGGGGTGGGCACGGTGGGCTGGCCTCAGCAGCCACAGGACGCTCGCTGCACGGCCGTGTCCCACCTTCTCCCAGGCCCGGGACGCCTGGCGTGGGGTTGGCAGAGGATGGAGGCTGAGCGCGAAACCTTCTGGAAGGTCTCACTTCCCCCAGAAGAGCCTCTTCAGTCCAAGTCGAGAGCAGAGGAGGGGGCCCCGCGTGAGGAAGCGCAGGCTGGCTGTGTCCGAGGGGAGCGCCAGCCGGGGCTCCCGGGTCCAGCCCGGGGAGGCGGCGCGGTGAGAGGCGAGGGCCGGGGAGACAGAGGAGCGAGGAGGCCGGCAGCCCCGACCCAGACCTCCTGGGGGGCGGCCTGCCCCGGGGGTGGGCTGGTGGGGATATCAAACACCTCTGGGGCCGGGTGGCCGGGCAAGGGGTCCGGGCAGCCAGGCAGGTGTTGGAGCCCAGCCTTGGCCTGCGTTTTGAGGGGAGGGTCAAGAGTGAGCTGAGCTGGCAGCTTTTTTTTTTTTTTTTCCCCCATCCGCTTTAGCGGAAGCTAACTCGGTCACGGGCCAGATCCCAGCCGAAGAGGCGCACACCCGCACACGCCCTCCCACACGCCCCACGCACATGCCACACACATGTCTTTTTACGGCCCATCTGGGGTGCACTTGGCTGCCGGAACGCGCTGCGTGAGCACGGCAGCTTCCCTGGGGGGGCTCGGAGGCACACGGGGTCGGGGGGGCGTGCGCCCACCGAGTCAGCCGCAGAGGTGAGCATGGGGCAGGGGCCTCAACCACAGGCCTGGTCCCAGCCCACTGCCCTTGGGGCACCTGCGTGGCTGGGCGTCCAGCGGGCCTGGGTGAAGGGGCGGGGCTGTCCACTGTCAGGACATCCCCCGGGGCCCGGCCGGGAGCGCAGCCCTCAGGGGCCGGAAGGGCACTGGGAAGGGTGGGCACAGAGCAGCGGCCGTGCCTGGGACGGGGTTGCAGCGGGGGAGGCAGGTGGTGGCAGGCAGGCCTCGGAGAGCTCGGGCAAGCCCCAGCCCGGGAGGAGGCCTGCTCGAGGCCGCGGGGCCCACCATGCTCCCAGCCGAGAGCGGCCTGGCTCCAGCCCAGAGAGCAGAGGGGGCGGAGGTTACGGTGCACAGGCCCGCTCTCTGCAAACCCCCACTGCACGTGCACCGTGACCTCGCACGCTCTGGCGTGCAGGGCACGCACCCACCCGGCCCCGAGAGAAACCTCCCGGGGCACCCGCGCAGCCCCACTGTGTGCCGGGTCAAAGTGTGCGTGTTCTCGGGGCTGCACTGGCGCCACCGCCTCTCGGGCCCCGAGGGTTAAGCAGGGGCAGGCAGCCCGCACCGACCCACCACCACCCTCTCCAGCCAACCATGGGTGTGCCTGCGGCGGCCCAGCCCCCGCTGGCGGCCCGTGAGGGGAAAGGAATTCCGGGGGAGTTGAGTGCTGCCCGGCTCTCCCTCCTGCGGAGGAGGCGCCTCGCGGCCTTCTGCCGGGCTGTGTCCCTGCAAGATGTCCCCTCCGCACACAGCCTCAGTTTCCCCACCCGCACAGCAGGAGGCAGGTTGGGGGGCCGGCGGGGGCGGGCCCATGAGCTCTGCCCTGCCGGCGTGGGCCAGCCTCTGGCAGGGAAGCCCCCTCCCGGGACTATGGCGCCCCCCCAGGCCTCCCCGACCTGCCTGCCGTCCCAGACGAGAGCCCTGCCGCCCCTCCACCAGCCTGGAGCCTGGGCCACCGCAGAGGCCCCCTTGCTTGCTCCCTCCGACGGCTCACTCCTGCCTCCCCGGCCGCCGGCGTCCTGGTCACACGCAGACCTGCACAGCTGCAGCCTGTGCGGGGCTGCGGCTGTTCTCCTGGGCAGGCAGCCTCCCTCCCACCCCCAGAGCACGACAGCACCTGTCTTGTGGCTGATAATAAGGACCCAGCGGGGTGATGGGTGTCAGCAGGCTGGCACGGCGCCCCCCTCCCAGCCGGCATTCACGGCGCAGGGACTGATGGGGCAACACAGACACTGATGATGCCCCAGCCGTCCTGCCCTTAAGGCACCTGTACGGGAAAGACCAGACACACCTTCACGCGTTACAAACACAAGACCCAGCCAAAGGCCTCCTCCTCCAGGAAGTCCCCCTGCCTGCTGGGGCTGACTGCTGGGGAACCCCTGTCCCATCGTGGGCTGAGCACAGAGGTGGGGCCCAGGAAACCTCTCCAGGGAGGCCTCACTCTCGTGTCAGTGGGCAGTGAACGCAGGTGGTGACCCCCGCCCGCCTCAGCAGAACGATCCCTGTGCCTCCTACGCGGCCCTGCCCCTCAGGGATCCGGGGGGCGAGGGCCTGGGGGGGTGGAGAGCACCGCCGCCCTGACGCGGTCCCTCCTGCCTCAGCCAGGTGGGCTGTGCCGGCCGCTGAGCCGTGAGCAGGGCCGCAAGGAACCCGGACTCCGCTGGCCTGGAGATGGCGGGAAACTGCTCCTGGGAGGGCGCCCCCGGCGACCGGAACAAGGCAAGTGTGCCCGGCAGCGGGGCAGGGGTGGCGGGAGGGGCGGGCCCAGCCCAGCATTCCCCACCCCCAAACTCATTGATTGCTCCACGGGCCCCCTCCTCTCACTCAGGATGGACGGGTGGGCAGCGGGATGTCCCTCGGGTCCCCATTGTCCTCACCACTGAGGCAAGCACGGGGGACCCCACACCCTTGAATCCCTTGGGGCATCAGTTACCAGCCCAGAGACCTCCCTCTGCCTTTGTCCTGTAGAGATGGGGTGATGGGCTATCTCCCCCGGCCACCCCGAGAAGCTGGCTCCGAGGGGGCCCTGCTGGCACAGTCAGTCTCTGTGGGGTGTGGCCCGCTCCGAGCCAGCCTGCCAGGGTTGCCCAAGGCCAGGGTCTGAGTCACGCGTCCTTCCTGGAGACTCTGACAGCCCCCACCCCACCCCAGGGACCCTGGAACGCTCTGGAGTTCCCTCCCACGTGCAGGAAAAACACCCTCGAGGCGGAAGGAACTTCTTGCTCACCTAGCGCCCCTGTTCCACACTTGAGGACACTGAGGCTGCCACGGGCACAGTGACGTGGCCAGGGCTGGGGGCGGAGGGCGGAGGTCGGGACAGAGCCGGGACTCCTGGCCCAGGGCCTGCCCTCAGCCCCTGGCATTTCCCTCCTCTGAGAGTGACCACTGAGGGGTGGCGGCCTCGTGGGGCAGCGGTGGGACAGCCCCGGGGGGAAGGCCCCAGAAGACCCTGGCAGAAGGCAGGGCCGGGGCAGGCCAGGCTCCAGAGCAGGCATTTCACAAGGCGGTACGTGTCAAGCGGTGGCAGCCCCACGCCCCGTGACTCACCGCCCGGCCCTCCCGCCCCGACTCCGGGCTGGGACTGCGGGCCCTTTCCAGCCTGGAGAGGCAGGGAGTGACCGGCCTGCCTGCTCCAGCGCTGTGGCCCGGTCCCTCCCGGCATTGGGGCCCGTCCTCCTCGGGCCTGTTCAGGCCTCGGGTCTCACTGATGGCTAGGTCTGGGTCCCCGGCTGAGGGGAGGCTGGTGAGCAGCTGCCCTGTGGCCCGGAGTGGTCCAACCACCCCCAGGAAATGCTGAATAACGGGCCCGTTAAGGGGCTTGGGGGTTGCCGGACAGACAGACGGACCGAGGCACGGAGCCAATAAATGTTCCCAGTGGATGATGGGCGGTGGACAGGACCCCTTCAAGTGCTTGCCCAAAGTTTGGCCCACACCCTGCAGGCCCTGTCTGTAGATCCCCCTTGACCCGGCTCAGAAGGCCCCTCGCTTTTTCTCAGGGTGTCAGACCCCGAGAGCTGCCCCTTGGGACCCAGCTTCCTGCCTGGGCTGGCGGCCATCTGGAAGGTGGCACTGCGGTCCCGCTTTAAGAACCTTCCCGTTTGTTTTGTTTGGGAGAGCCCCGAGCCATGGGAACTGGTACCCAGCCTTGGATGGGGGACGGAGGGTGGGGAGGTGGGTGGGGCTGGCTCTGTGTAGAGTGCTGAGATGGATGCGTGCTGAGGTGGATTAGTGATGTCTGCCCGGGTGTGGGATGCGCAGCTGCCTGCTCTGGGCAGCCTTGGAGTGAGAGGTGAGAACCAACCTCGACAGCAGGAGGACCGAGCCTAGCACGGAGGTGTGATGTGTTTGGCCCACACGGTGGCTTTTACATGTGAACCTTTAAAGATCAGGGAAGTCCCGTTACAACCTGGAGTCCTGGCGTCTCTGGGGACAGGGACGGACGGTCAGGGCTGGAGCAGAGTGGCCACCCGCTTCTCCGGGTGGGGGCTGGTGCTCCTCATTTCCCCGCCCCCCGCCACCCGCTCCCTGCACCTGGCCCGCCTTCACTGCATCAGACACTGACCCAGGCCCTGCAGGTGGGACTGAGGTCCAGCCGCACTCACGCGAACAGTCAGACCGGGTGTTAAAACACCGAAGTGCTTCCCCGCACCCCTCCCCAGGGACCCCAACCAGGTCCAGACCCCCCACCACCCAAGTCCCAGAGGGGCCCCTGGCCTGGCTTTATACATATATAACATATTTTTTATTTTAGAGAGGAGGGAGGGGAGAGAGAGAAACATCAATGTTGACTGCCTGTCTTCTGTATGAACTCTGGCCGGGGACCAAACCCGCAACCCAGGGCTGTGCCCTGACCGGGAATTGAACCAGAGACCTTTCGGTTTGCTGGGCAACACCCAACCCACTGAGCCACACCTGCTGGGGCAGAGAAGATTTTATTTTTTAATAAATACGTTTGCATTTTAGTATGAAATACTGCAAGCAGATAGAAAAGCTGAGGCAATAGTACAAAGAACACCACACACCCTCCAGCGGCTCGCTGTCACCCTCTCTCCACATCCCCGCCCCCTCCCCCTCCCCCTCCCGAGCGCTACACCTTTCCCCACAACTGCGTGAAAGCAAATCGCAGACACCAAGCCACTTTGCCCCCAGTGGCCTGCCTCCCCAAAGAACACAGACACTCCGACAGGTAGAGAGTCCATTCTCCCAGCCAGGCAGCCTGGAGTCCGCACGCAGGCGGTCGCCCCAGCAACACCCCCGCAGGGCCCCTGGAGCGGCGGAGCGCCCTAAGACACAGTGCATGCTCACTGGCCACATCTCTCCTCCTTCCTCCTGGAGAGGCCCCTCGGCTTTTCCCCGCTCGGCGTGGCGGACATTTTTTGAGTGGCTGTTGGGACAGGTGGGCGGTCCGGTGCCCTTCTTGGTGACCAGCTATTTTTCACGGTCATTCCCGTAGGCTGCTAGCGCCAGAGTCTGGGTCACAGAGTGGAATCGGAAGTGTCATCTGCTCTAGTTGGAGCCAAGTAGTTCGCTCCAGAGCCGGTGGCGCTCCGTGTCCGTCGGGAGGGCCAGCACGCCTAGACACGTGTGGGGGCGGGGTTGGGGGCGGGCCCACCCGGCCTCACCGGGTGTCTCCCCTTCCCTGCCGCGCAGATGTGTTCCGGCGGGAGCGAGGCCCCAGAGCTGTACAGCCGTGGCTTCCTGACCATGGAGCAGATCGCCGCGCCGCCGCCGCCGGCCGTCGTGAACTACATCTTCCTGCTCCTCTGCCTGTGCGGGCTCGTGGGCAACGGGCTGGTGCTCTGGTTCTTCGGCTTCTCCATCAAGCGGAGCCCCTTCTCCATCTACTTCCTGCACCTGGCCGGCGCCGACGCGGGCTACCTCTGTAGCAAGGCCGTGCTCTCCATCCTCAACACGGGGGGCTTCCTGAGCACCTTTGCCGAATACGTCCGCGCCGTGTCCCGGCTCCTGGGGCTCTGCACGTTTGTCGCCGGCGTGAGCCTCCTGCCGGCCATCAGCGCGGAGCGCTGCCTGTCCGTCGTCTTTCCCGCCTGGTACTGGCGCCAGCGGCCCAAGCGCCTGTCGGCCGTGGTGTGCGCCCTGCTCTGGACCCTGTCGCTCCTGGTCACCAGCATCCACAACTACTGCTGCGTGTTCCTGGGCCGCCAGGCCGCGGGGGGCGCCTGCCGGCACATGGACGTCTTCCTGGGCGTGCTGCTCTTCCTGGTCTTCTGCCCGCTCATGGTGCTGCCCTGCCTGGCGCTCATCCTGCACGTGGAGTGCCGCGCGCGGCGGCGCCAGCGCTCCGCCAAGCTCAACCACGTCATCCTGGCCGTGGTCTCGGTTTTCCTCGTGTCCTCCATCTACCTGGGGATCGACTGGTTCCTCTTCTGGGTCTTCCAGATCCCCGCCCCCTTCCCCGAGTACGTCACCGACCTGTGCATCTGCATCCACTGCAGCGCCAAGCCCGTGGTCTACTTCCTGGCGGGGAGGGACAAGTCGCAGCGGCTCTGGGAGCCCCTCAGGGTGGTCTTCCAGCGGGCCCTGCGGGACGGCGCCGAGCTGGGGGAGGTCGGGGGCGGCACGCCCAACACGGTCGGCATGGAGATGCAGGGCCCCCCTGGGAACGCCTCCTGAGGGGCGGACCCCCGGAGGGGAGGCAGGGGCCTGAGCAGCCGGGACCTCCAGAGACCCTTCACCCGGGACAGGAACTGGGCAGCGGCCCTGGTGCTGAATACAAGGGGGAGAGTCTGCCTCCTGCCCCTCAGGCCTCCCTCTCCGTGGGCGGGAGGCTCTGTGAGTGAGCAAGAGACCCAGCAGCCACCAGCCAACACCTTCTGTGGCCTCACCAGGCCCCGCCCCGGCCATCCTCCTGCATCAGCGACCCCGGAAGGTGTCCTCAGGTGGTGGGCCTCCTTACCGCAGGCTGGTCCGGAAAGGAGATGGGAGGGGCCCCCAAGCCCTGTCCACCTCCTGCCCCTTTACAGGAGCCCGCCTGGGAAATGACACAGCCCCGCCCTCACCGTCATCGGGCCACCAGCCTCCTCCCGCCATCGGGACACCTGTTCCGGCCTCAGCACCCTCTCTGGGCGCCGCTGGTGCTGGTGGCAGACCCGGACTGGAAGGGGCTGTCTGGGACAGCGCGCTGGGTCACCCGCCCCCCGCCCCCTTGGTGGACCCTGTGGTGACAGCGAGCAGGCAGAGGCGGGAAGGACCTTCAGCCAGCCTGGGCAGGTCACTTTCTCTTCTGGTTCCGTGCCGGCCAGCCCGGCAGCCTTCCGGAGCAGGCGGCGCGTCCCGGCTGCTATCCGCCTGGTCCTTGGGCGCCTGCAGACCTTCTACACGGTCTCCGGGCCCCAGGCCCGCCCCCAAGTGGGCACTGGCCCTACCGGGCCACCCCAGCCCACCATCAAGCACAGTGGCCCAGCGTAGCCAAAGGAAGTTTTACAAAAGACGATAAGTGTGCATCAATAAATTTTGTATCTTACCGCCTCCGTCCTCTCCACAGTCCGGTTCCTGACTGGGATGCCCTCGGGCGACGGCAGCTCTGGGCGGCCTTTCCACGCACAGGGAACCTCCCAGCAGCACCCCCTGTCCTGGCTCTCGAGCTGCCTCCCCCGGCTGCTCTGTGCTCCGTGGCCCCCCCACCCCACCCCACGTGCTGCCTCTCCTGGCAGGGAGTCGGCTCCTCTGTGGAGTGAGCTGCGGTCGGCCAGCCACGCCCCCGCTGGGTGCCCTCCAGGGCCCTCTCCCGCCCACCCACCCCGGCCCCTGCTGTCCCTGGGAACCTCAGTTTCCATCGCACCTACTCGGTGCCAGGCCCTGTGCTACTATGGCCCCCTGCCTGTGAGGCGCACAGTGTGTCCACACGGAAGCCCCCCGGGGTGGGGGGGCTGCATCTTCTCCTCTTGCTCCCCGTCCAGACTCCCCTAGGCAGGGCAGCCCCATGGGCCAGCACCCCCTACTTCATGCAGGGACCGTGGCCCCTTCATAAGGGTAGCTGAGGGGCCATTTGGGGGCCTGGGTCCTCAGTGTCTGGAGTCCACCCCTTCCCCCAGGAACCCCCGTCCGAGGCCTCCAGCCCCGAGCCCTTGCGGGGAGCGTCCCCCCACCCACGCCAGGAGACGGGAGGGGCCGCCCCGCCGAGGCTCAGAGCCCAGGCCCCGTGGGCAAGGGCTGCCTGCCCACCCACTCCGCTGGCCCGGAGGCGAGCAGAGGCCTGGGCCCCGTGTGAACACGATCCACCCTCAACGGCACCAGGCCTGGGAGGCAGGGTGGGGGGTGGGGGTCAGCGCCAGGAACTGGGCCTCTCCCAGCCGGCGGACCTCCTCATGCGCCCAGCACTGGTCTGGCTGCGGAGCAGCCTTGCTCTCCCCCGACCGCCCACAGGCCCGGGGAGGGGGGGTCGGGGCACCTCCTGCCCGCCCGGGTGCGGAGGGGAGGGGAGGCAGCCGGAGCAGCAGCAGCCATGGGCCTCCACCACTTCCCTCCCCCTCCTCTGGGATTTAATTATCAAAACAGGCCAGGGGGGCACGCAGGGGTGGGGCGGTGGGCCGTCCACCTCCCACCCCGGCCGAGAAGGCAGCACAGCTGGGCCCCAGCGCCCACCCCTCCAAGCTGCCTTCTTTCTGGGGGTCTGGTAAAAGTTTCCGCCCTACACTGCAGCCAGGGACCCGGCCACTCCCTGCTGAGAACCACGCCTCAGGCTGTGGGACCACAGGGCTGCGTCCAGGGCAGGGGCACTGCCCTGCGGACGGGGGAGGTGCTGGGGGGCTGGGCCAAGGGGCGCGTCACCCAGCAGCTCTAGTGCTCACGAAGCAGGACTTCCTCCCCAACGGGACCTGGAGGGCGGGGGTGGGCTGGGCAGGGCAGAGCGTGGCGCTCACATGCTTCCTGTCACCTCTCTCTACAAACACGGACAAGAGGAGAAGTCCCCTCTTTTAGTCGGTGAGAGGGATGAACAGCGAAAGTCAAGAGCAAGACTCTGGGAGCCAGGGCCACCACCTACCGGTTGTGGGACCTCGGTTTTGCTGTGCCTCAGTTTCCCTGAGTGCCACAGTCAGGCCTCGGGCCCAAGATGGGGGGGAAGGGAGGAGGTGGGGCCACGGAAGGAGAGATGTTCACGGCAACAGCCCATCCCAGGAACAGGTGATTAAGGCACAGACCGCCATTTATTGAGGACCTACTATGTGCTGTGGGTCTGTGTTAAGAGCTCCACCTACAAATTTCATTTGATCTTCACAACAGGCTCCGTGGCGGCAGCGGCTAGTGCCTGGTGTGGAAGCCGGGCTCACGGGTGGGTGGGGCTGCTCATCCAAGGTCAGCCCCCCCAGGTGGACAGCCCTGGCCGCAGCCCCACCACCGTCCACAGGCTCCGTGACCACCTAGTTTCCTGGAAGCGCAGGCCTCTGACCTCTGTGCTGGCCGTCGGCAGAGCACCGGGAGTCAGGGTTCCGTGTGACACCTGCCGCCGCCCAAGGACACCCCAGACCCCCCTTGTCGGCTCCACGCAAGACTGAGACCAGAGGGACAGCTCTGTGTCGGGCTGTGGGCCTCAGAAACGCAGTGGGGGCAGGAAGCGGACAGCACAGCAAAGCCCTGGACACTCGGGCCCCTTGCTGTCTTCACCTGCCCCCAGTGAGCGAGCAACTGCCCGCCCGGCACCCGCCCGGCGCCCACCCGGCTTCCTCGAGCCCCCCGCCTACTGTGGTTTTGCGATAACATGGGCTTTCTATTGCATGCCGGAATTTCAAAGCCAAGGTCTTGTGGCATGAGCTCAGCTCAGTTCACAGCCCTCGGCCGGCCAGGCGGATTCCTTCTCCCCAGGATCCAAGGGCTGCTTCTAGAAGCAGGATGGAAAGACAATGGACTTTTACGGTCTAGCCTCTCTGGGAGGGGGAGAAGCCAGGGCCAACGGGCCCTTCACACATGCCGATGATGCCAAAGCGAGGCAAACACACCGCAGAGACCTTCCCGAACCGGGGCACCCGGGTGCAAGCACAAAATATGGTATTTTAAGCCGGTGGGGGGCAGGGCAGGGGGGGTCGGGAAAGCAGCCAGTGGGGCTCAGAGACAACAACAGGACACAGTTCACAGAGTTGAGACTCATGGAAAGCTCTGCTCAGTGGGTCCAAGCGCCAGCGCGAAGTTTCCTGGCAAGGCAGAGCGCTTACCCACCCGGACAGATGGTTCTGCAACATCGTTCCAGTCGGTTTCGCTGCTGTCTGGTTTACATCCAGTAAAATGCATTCAGTTCATGTGCAGCCCAGCAAACTCTGACCTGCATGCGCCGCGTCTTCACCCAGTGGGTGCATGGATGTTCCCTTCCACCCGGAACTTCCCAGGGAACCGTGGACCCCCTTCCTCAGGCCAGCCCCTGCCGCGGCCAGCAGCCTGAGCCGACAGTCACCTCAGCTTCCTGTGGCTAGAGAGCACTGGTTGTAGATTACAGATTAGTTTCACGGACAGACACTGGTTGTAGATTACAGGTTAGTTTCAAGGCTAGAGAGCACTGGTTGTAGATTACAGGTTAGTTTCATGGATCCACACCAACTTCCCTCTGACGTTTGGTGAGGAGTGCAGAAACCCACGTTTCATCTAGCCTGGGGGTGGAGTGCGCAGGGGGGCTTCCAGAGATCTTCCCTGTAAACACACTGGATCCCGGCCCCGGGATATGTTCCTGCGGTCGCCCCTATTTCCTGGTTCTCGGCTCTGCTTCTGTCTGGGTTGCACTTATTCATTCTCAGGGGACACTTGAAATGGCAGGCCCCCATTTACATTTGACGAATTCAGCAATCCCAGCAGAAAGAGAGTGTCCCTCCCCGGTGATTCTAACACCCCAGAGACTGCACCCACCCCCTCCCCCCACAGGCCAGGCCCTGGAGCGCGAGGCGGGGCCGGCGCCGTGAGGAGGGGGCCGGTCTTACCCAAACCCAAACCCACCGGGCTGGGAGCTGAAGGCAGCCTCTGGCCGACAGCCAACAAGGGACTGAAGAGCATTCGGCTTCTGTGCTCCCAACAGCTGCGAGAACTAGTCACCAAAACCAGGCCCCCCGTCGCGCACACGCCTGGACTCTGCACCCAGCACCAGGGTGCCCTCCCTCGGGCACTCAGCCCCCCCAGGCACTCAGCCCCCCCACCAGGCCTCCACTGGATGGTCCCCAGGAGACCTTGGGCGTTGGGGACAGAGCTGACCCACCTCCCAATGCAGCGACGGTGTCCCTGTGCCACACCCCCCCAGGGTCCAGCCAAGAGCGCATCAGAGGGCGGGGGTCTGTAAAGTGACTTTGCTTCTCCCAGGTCTGAGGGCCCCCCCACTGGTCAGGACTCTTGGTTGCAAGTGACAGACACACACGCACTGAAATACATGCACATGCATGTGCACACACACACACACACACAGAAGGGACTGGCCCCCATTACTGAGAAGTCCAGGGTGAGTGGGCTCCAGCCGGAGCTGGATCCGGCCGGGTACCTGGACCCAGGGACCCGTCGTCCATCCTCAGTAATTCGTCAGGACACGTGAGCAGGGGGACACGCCAGGCACGGGGGCTGCCAGACCCCGAGCACCCTGCCTGTCGGCAGCTCACGTCCTCTCGGGCGGTCTGTCTGCGTCCCCCGGTCTGTGTCACTGTGCCCCTGTCCCAGCCCCTTCTCTGCAAGCCCAGAACCGGAGCCTCGGACAGTCGGAGCCACGTGCCCCGGGATGGCCATGAGCACCGCAGAGCCACCTGCCCTCGAGTCAGCTCTCTTATCAGCGCTGACCTGGGGACGACGGCCCCAGCTTCAGCGTCTCCTCCTTCACGCCGATGCCCAGCGTGCGCCCCACTATCCAGCCCCCGAGGGGCAGGTTCCAGGGGTCCCAGACGTCTGGGGCCTGACCCCCGGCCCCTGCTCAGGTCCTGCAGGTCCCCTGGCACGCTGGGTGACACCGGTGAGGTGTCTGCCTGCATCCTGCCCTGGAGGGATCCCGTTTCCCCGATAGGTGGTCCCCAACTAGCAAGTAGCCGAACTCAGACGTGAAATAACGTCCAGGTGCCCTGGACTCGGAGTCCAGGGCGCCTTCCTCCCCCCCACCCCTTCAGCAGGCAGAGCCCGCTCGCCAGACCCTCACTGGGCGGGCGGTGGGGGCGGAGGTGTAAGGGCCTCTCCTCACCCACAAGGGCCCGGCTCCCTCCGCGGCCCGGCCCCGCCCCCGCCGACGGGGCCTGCTCATGGTCGGAGGTCCCCATGGCCGTCCCGGATGACCCCGTAAGGCCGGGGTCGGCCTCCACCGCTTCCTGCAGGCCCCAGCCCCATCCATCTCCCTGCAGCCCAGCCCTCCCCGCCCCCCCCGCAGGAGCTGAGGGCGTGCCTCCCAGTGGGTGGGGCCGGCCTGCCGCCACACCCCAGCTCCTGCCAGCTTCTCAGCAGGAGCCTGGAGACGGCTCTCTGAAGGGTCCTGGGCACAGGCCGGACAAGAGTCCCGGGGCCGTTGTCATGCAGCATATGTG